CAAATACATGGAAATTAAATAACCTTCTCCTGAATGATTGATTGTTGGCTCAACAACAAAACAAGATGGAAATTTAAATATTTGAACTGAATGATAATAATGACACAACCTATCACAACCTCTGGGTGCTAAGAGGAAAGTTTACAGCATTGAATGCCTGCATGAAAAAGTTTAAAAGAGCATAAATAAAACAATCTAAGGTCACACCTCAAGAACTAGAGAAACAAGAATAAACTAAACCCAGCAGAAGAAAAGAAATAACAAAGATGAGAGCAGAACTCAACGAAACTGAAACCAAAAAAATACAAAAGATAAATTAAACAAAAAGCTGTTCTTTGAAAAGATAAACAAAATTGATAGAATATTACCAAGATTAACCAAAAAAAGAAAAGAAAAGATCCAAATAAGCTCAATTAGAAACAAAACAGGAGATGTAAGAACTGATATCACAAAAATAAAAAATATTCAAAGCTACTACGAACATCTTTACACGTACAAACTAGAAAGCCTAAAGGAGACAGATAAATTCCTGGAAACATACAACCCCTCTAGATTAAAGCAGTAAGAAACGGAAACTCTGAACTGACCACAGCCAGACTGAAATGGTAATTTTAAAACTGCCAACAACAAAAACAACAAAAAGTCCAGGACCAGAGGGATTCACAGCTGAATTCTATCAGACATTCAAAAAAGAACTGGCACTAATCCTATTGGCACCGTTCCAAAAGACAGAGAAAGAGGGAATCCTCCCTAAATCATTCAATGAAGTCATTATTACTCTGATACCAAAAACAGGGAAGGACATAACAAAAAAAGAAAGCCACAGACCAATATCCCTGATGAACATAGATGCAAAAATCCTCAACAAAATATTAGCTAACTGAATCCAACAGCACATTAAAAAGGTAATTCACCATGACCAAGTGGATTTCATACCAGGGATGCAGGCACAGTTTAACGTCCACAAGTCAATAAATGTGATACACCACATAAACAGAATTAAAAGCAAAAATCACATGATCATCTCAACAGACCAAGAAAAAGCATTTGACAAAATCCAGCTTCTCTATATGATTAAAATCCTCAGCAAAATTGGCATAGAAGGGACATACCTCAAGGTAATAAAAGCATCTATAACAAACCCACAGCCAACATTATAATGAACAGGAAACAAGCTGAAAGCATTCTCCCTGAGAAGTAGAACAAGACAAGGATGCCCACTTTCACCATAGCTATTCAACACAGTACTGGAAGTCCTAGTTGGAGCAATCGACAAGAGAAAGAAATAAAGGGCACCCAAATCAATAAAGAGGAAGTCAAACTGTTGCTGTTTGCTGATGATATGATTGTATACCTAGAAAACCCTAAAGACTCATCCAAAAAGCTCCTAGATCTCATCAATGAATTCAGTAAAGTTTCAGGATACAAAATAAATGTACACAAATCAGTGGCTCTGCTATAAACCTGCAGAGACCAAGCTGAGAATCAAACTAAGAACTCAACCCCTTTCACAATAGGTGGAAAAAAAATACTTAGTGATATACCTAACCAAGAAGGTAAAAGAACTCTACAACAAAACTTACAAAACACTCCGGAAAGAAATCACAGAGGATACAAACAAATGGAAACATATCCAAACTACTGGATAGGTAGAATCAGTATTGTGGAAATACCATACTGCCAAACACAATCTATAAGTTCCTATCAAAATACAATCATCACTTTTCACAGAAGTAGAAAAAACAATCCTAAAATTTATATGGAACCAAAAAAGAGCCCACATAACCAAAGCAAGACTAAGCAAAATGAGCAAATCTGGAGTCATCACATTATCTGACTTCATACTATATTATAAGGCCATAGTCACTAAAACAGCATGGTACTGCTATAAAAATAGGCACATAGAATAGGGAACCCAGAAATAAAGCCCAATACTTACAGCCAACTGATTTTTGTCAAAGCAAACAAAAAGTATAAAGTGGGGAAAGGACAACCTGTTCCACAAATGGTGCTGGGATAATTGGCAAGTCACACGGAGAAGAATGAAACTGGATCCTCATGTCTCACCTTACACAAAAATCAAATCAAGATTGATTAAAGACTTAACTCTATGACCTGAAACATAAAAATTCTAGATGATAACATTGGAAAAACTCTTCTAGACATTGGATTAGGCAAAGGCTTCATGACCAAGAACCAAAAGCAAATGCAACAAAAACAAAGATAAACAGATGAGACTTAATTAAACTAAAAAGGTTTTGCACATTAAAAGAAATAATCAACAGAGTAAATGGACAATATTCACAAATTTTGTGTCCAACAAAGGACTAACAGCCAAAATTTACAAGGAACTCAAACAAATCAGCAAGAAAAAAATGCCATCAAAAAGTGAGCCAAGGGCCAGGCACGGTGGCTCAAACCTGTAATCCCAGTGCTTTGGGAGGCCAAGGCGGGTGGATCACGAGGTCAAGAGATCGAGACCATCCTGGTCAACATGGTGAAACCCCGTCTCTACTAAAAATACAAAAATTAGCTGGGCATGGTGGCGCGTGCCTGTAATCCCAGCTACTCAGGAGGCTGAGGCAGGAGAATTGCTTGAACCCAGGAAGCGGAGGTTGCAGTGAGCCGAGATTGCACCATTGCACTCCAGCCTGGGTAACAAGAGCAAAACTCCGTCTCAAAAAAAAAAAAAAAAAAAAGGTGAGCCAAGGACATGAATAGACAATTCTCAAAAGAAGATATACAAACAGCCAACAAACATGTTCAATAACATAAATTATCTAGGGAAATGCAATTCAAAATCACAATGCAGTATCACCTGATATGGTTTAGCTATGTCCTCACCCAAATCTCATCTTGAATTGTAATCTCCATAATCCCCATGTGTCAACAGAGAGACCAGGCAGAGGTAATTGAATCACGGGGGCAGTCTCCTCCTTGCTGTTCTCATGATAGTGACTGAGTTCTCACAAGATCTGATGGTTTTATAAGTATTTGGTGAGTTCCTCCTTCAGTCATTATCTCTCTTGCCACCTTGTGAAGAAAGTGCCTCTCTCTCCCTCACCTTCCACCATGATTCTAAGTTTCCTGAGGCCTCCCTAATCATATGGAACTGTGAGTCAATTAAATTTCTTTCCTTTATGAATTTCCAATGTTTCATATCTTTTCATTAAACAAAAACCCCAGGATTAGGCCGGGTGCAGTGGCTCAAGCCTGTAATCCCAGCACTTTGGGAGGCTGAGGCGGGTGGATCACGAGGTCAAGAGATCAAGACCATCCTGGTCAACATAGTGAAACCCCATCTCTACTAAAAATACAAAAAATTAGCTGGGCATGGTGGCACTTGCCTGTAATCCCAGCTACTCAGGAGGCTGAGGCAGAAGAATTGCCTGAACCCAGGAGGCGGAGGTTGCGGTGAGCAAAGATCGTGCCATTGCACTCCAGCCTGGGTAACAAGAGCAAAACTCTGTCTCAAAAAAAATTAAAAAAAAAAAAAAAAAAAAAAAAGACTACACACTGAGTACAGCATACACTGCTTGGGTGATGGGTGCAATGAAATCTCAACAATCATCAATAAAGAATTTATCCAAGTAACCAAATATCACTTGTTCCCCAAAAACTACTGAAATTTAAAAAAGATAACAATACATAATGTTGTTGGTATTGCTTGCAATTAGAACAACTCTTTAAAATTATTCTTAGGAGCTTAAAATTAGAATAGTCATTTCCTTAGTATTTTAGATGCAAGTGGTTTGGAGAATTTGTGGGTTTCTTTTATTTTTAAGACAGAGTCTCACTCTGTCTTCTAGGCAGGAGTGCAGTAGCATGATCTCAGCTCACTGCAACTTACGCCTCCCAGGTTCAAGCGATTCTCCTGCCTCAGCCTCCTGAGTAGCTGGAACTACAGGTGCACGCCACCATGCCCAGCTAAGTTTTTTATTTATAGTAGAGAAAGGGTTTCACCATGCTGGCCAAGTGGTCTTAAAATCCTGACCTCATGATCCACTCGTCTTGGTCCCCCAGTGCTAGGATTACAGATGTGAGCCACTGCTCCCAGCCAAATTTGTAGGTTTCTTAATAAACATCACATAAATGTTCTAAATTGACTATCAAGGGCCAGGCACAGTGACTCATGCCTGTAATCCCAGCACTTTGGGAGGCCAAGGCGGGCAGACCACTTGAGATCAGGAGTTCAAGACCAGCCTGACCGACGTGGTAAAACCCCGTCTCTACAAAAATAACAAAAATTAGTGGGCATAGTGCCATGTACTTGTAATCCCAGCTACTTGGAAGGCTGAGGCAGGAGAACTGCTTGAACTCAGAAGGTATAGGTTGCAGTGAGCCAAAATCATGCCATTTTACTCCAGCCTGGGCAAGAGAGTAAGAACTCTATCTCAAAAAGAATAGAATAAAATAAAATAAAATAAATTCATATCAACCACTTCTAACATTTTATACCAAGTATAACAAGATGCTTGGGCTAATTTTATAATTTTTTATTTAAATTAAGATGAATAAATAACTTCTTTACTATTAAAACTACGTATTTAAAAGGAGAAATTAATCATTTTTTTCTTTTTTTGTAATTTTTTTTTTTGGTAGAAACAAATTCTATCCCAGATTCAAGTGATTCTCCTGCCTCAGCCTCCTGAGTAGCTGGGATTATAGGCACCCACTTAATTTTTTGTATTTTTAGTAGAGACAGGGTTTCACCATGTTGGCCAGGTTGGTCTCAAACTCTTGACCTCACGTGATCCACCTGCCTCAGCATCCCAAAGTGCTGGGATTATAAGCACGTGCCACCGAGCCTGGCCTCCTTCAGCTATTTTTATCCATGTGTGTGTGTGTGTGTGTGTGTGTGTGTGTGTGTGTTCGCAGGCATGGCATATGTGTACAATTAATACTTGCTCACTCTGTGACTGGCCTGCTAGAAATGAAACATACAATGAGCAGAACACACAGCACACAACGTAACAGAAGGAAGCAAGTCAGTGCCATACCTGGGTTATTGTTAACATTACTTTTGGGTGGCTTCTGAACTGGTTTGGGAAGCGTAGATTCAGTCAAAGCTTTATTAGCAACAGCCTGTTGAGCCTTCTTTATGCTGCTGCCTTCGGATTCCCATGTCTGCTCACCAAGACTCAGCTGCACTGAGAACATCTTAGAAAAACATAAATAGACAAAGAAAACATTAAGAATTTTCCAAGAAATAAAATGAGCTGTCTGAGAGAAAAATAAACACACTACAGAATCAGAATTTAAGAGCTAGAGGTGATCTTACATACAGATTATTTCCAAGAAAATCTTATTCTACCTAATGAAGAAATTTTAAGAGAGTACCAAATTCTGTTCTAGCCTATTCAAAAGCTTCATAGCGGGTCTAGGTATACATTTTTGGTAGAATAAACCAAGAAGCAATCTTTCCTCTAAATGGAATCACAATGTTAATGTCATTGTGGTCCTCAGAAAAGTAGACTTAAGTACAAAGAGTAAGAGAAACTGGAAGAGAAGCCAAAAGACCAAGTGTCTATAGCACTTTTATAAGATCTAATTCCTTAAATGTTACATTTAGCACAATCTAGGCAATGAGTCAGCCAATTCTTTTAAATATTATACTACCAAAAACTCTGAATCTCCACAACAAACATTTAGCCAATCACTAAATTGCGTCCATTTTAACATCATAAATATTTCTCAAATCTTCTTCCTCTCCCTGCCAACAAACACTGCACTGGATCCAGCCTTTCATCATCTTTAGCTTGGACATAATATTCTTCCAGTTGATCGATGCTAAAACTATCTTTCTAAAACACAAATAAATCCAATTTTATCACCCCAATCAACACCAGGTTAAAACCCTTTAACTGTTCCTGTTTTAGCAGGGCACAAAGGCTCTACCTGTGCATCCTCATTTCACACACATCCATCCCCTCACGTGTCCTACATTCCACTCACACTGTATTTCCATGTAAGCCCCCAAAGTTATTATTCATCTTTAAAATGTACAATGAAGTTACATGATATGTGTGTAATTGGTTTTACTCCACAGACTGCTTATTATTTTCTAGGAATACAAAGTATTAACTCGAAATTACTTCTTAATTACAAAAAAGGATATTATCACAGAAAGAAGATCAGATAGAAAATACCTTCACTAAGTTAGCATCACCAATAATCACACAAATTGACGTCATGTGCCCCTGAGATGATCCAATGAGAAGTACACATCAACAACCATGTAGTATTCTTGGCCAAAACTGTTTAATCTGATCATAGAGAAACAATCAGACAGATGCAGATTATGGGACATTCTATAAAACAAATGGCCTAGCCTCCAAAAATATCAATGTCATAAAAGAAAAAAAAAAAAAGAATGCAGGGAGGTTGTCATAGATTAAAGGACACTAAAGAGACATGAAAAGACATGATCGAGCCGGGCGCGGTGGCTCAAGCCTGTAATCCCAGCACTTTGGGAGGCCGAGGCGGGTGGATCACGAGGTCGAGAGATCGAGACCATCCTGGTCAACATGGTGAAACCCCGTCTCTACTAAAAGTGCAAAAAATTAGCTGGGCATGGTGGCACGTGCCTGTAATCCCAGCTACTCAGGAGGCTGAGGCAGGAGAATTGCCCGAGCCCAGGAGGCGGAGGTTGCGGTGAGCCGAGATCGCGCCATTGCACTCCAGCCTGGGTAACAAGGGTGAAACTCAGTTTCAAAAAAAAAAAAAAAAAAAAAAAAAAAAAAGAAAAGACACAATCAATACAATGCATGATCCTTGATTATATCTGAAATGGGAAGGAAAAAAAAGCTATAAAGGACATTTAGAAGACAACTGGGGAAACGTGACTATGAACTGTATATTAAGTAATACGTTTAGCCAGGATTAAATTTCTTGTGTGATAACAGTATTGTGGTATTAAGAAGAATGTCTTTAGTCTTATAGGTAGACATGTAAGTATTTAAGAGTGAAGTGTCATGGTAGCTGAAATTTACTTTCAAATTGTCCAAGGAAGAAGTGTATGTTAAGATAGAAGGAGCAAGAAATAAAGTAATGTTGCAAATAAATGATCAGTGAATCTAAAACATACATGAGTGTCTATTATACTATTCTTTCCATTTTTTTCTGCAGATTTTTAATTATTGAAAAGAGAACTGGAATTTGTCACTTGAAATTCACAACATAAACATACCTGTTTAAAGTGATTTATTTTTCTTTTACTCTAATTCAGTTTAAAATATGTACCCAAAATGTACCTTTAATACTCTATCTGGTTTCAAAACGATTTTTCAATGACTAGCTGTTTTCCTTCAAATTTTGGTATTTAACAAAGAACTTTGTCACAAAATAAGAAAGTTTAAAGGTTTCACGTGATATATATTATATAATCTTACACACAGCCCATATGCTTGAAAACAGAAATACCCACATGAATGACCCTGAGATTCCTGATCGCATCAGGAAAGCACATTAAATTTACTCTGCGTGTTTCCAGACCTGACCTCTCCTAAACAGCAATCATATAAATTTGATTTTCTACCTGGTATTTCTACAAACTCAAGAGGTATAAGGTCAAACAAAACATTGCCTCCTCCGCTCTACCCACTCCAAATCAGTTCATACTCCAAAATGTTTCATCCATTATATCCCAACAGTTCAGGTTCAAACCTCATTAGTTGCATTTATCCTTGCCTTCCTAAGGCTTATTTAGCATCTCATAACTCTTCCTTGTAATTTCTATTGTCACCTCCTTAGTCTAAGGCCCCTATAAAGTCAGACTCAGAATACTTCATTTAGCTCCTGTCTCTAATCATTCCTGCCTCCTAATCATTCCTGTCACCATGGGTAGTTACTGTCAGAATCAAGTTAAATAGTAGGATATCTAGTCAGTATATGGGTACAGTTAGAGAACTCGTTGGTATGGGAAAAAAAACCCGCACATTTAGTGTCAGAAGTGAAGTGTTACAACCAGGTGTAACACTTTTTTTTTCTTTTTTTTTAATGGGAACACCAGGGGGCAGGGGGCAGGGCTGAGGGATGAAGTGCTGCCAGGGTCCCCAGGGGGTGCTGCCGAAGCTCCAGCCCTAAAGCCGTCCCCGAGAGAATTCCACACAGTGACGATGTGACAGGCCACACCTCCGCAGCGCCCATGTTCCCGGCGCTGTTCCAGGCAAGGTGTGCGTTCACCGCTTTCACGCTGAGCTGGAATCCCAGCACTTTGCGTGGACAAGGTGCAAGGATCACTTGAGCTCAGGAGTTTGAGACCATCCTGGGCAACACAGAAAGACCTCAGCACTACCAGAAGTTTAAAAAAGTATCTAGGCATGGTGGTGCACACCTGTAATCCCAGTTACTCAGGAGGCTGAAGCAGGGGGATCCCTTGAGCCCAGGAGATCAAGGCTGCAGTGAGTTGTGACTGCACAACTGCACTCCAGCCTGGGCAACACAGAGCAAGACCCTGTCTGGAAAACAAATTTTTTAATTAAAAAAAATTTTTTTAAATGAAGTGTTAAGAGTAAAGAAAAAAATTTCTTTTTGCTATCTTAAAGCAATTCCCTTAATATCTGACTTTCCCATTCAAACTACCATTCTTACCACCATCAACATGAACATTCTGTAAAATATAAGTATTTCCAAGGCAATCCTATGCTTTTCTAAAATCTCTCTAAAGACTCCTACTACAGTAAAAAGTTTAGTAGTTTTAAGACGGAATGCTGAAGACACACTATTTATAAGTTTAAGTCATGCTTTGACCACTTACTATATACAACACTGGGAAGTTAATTATTCTTTCTAACTCTGTTTCTTACCTCTTTAGTGAAACGGTGCTAATAAGAACACATGGTTAGTTGTGAAATTAGAATAAAATGATGTAAATGCCCCCATTTGAAAGTCAGAGATTGTCAAACTAGATAAAAATGCAAAATCAAACTACATGCTACCTACAGAAACTGCACTTCAAATATAAAAGCACATACAGTTTTAAAGTAACAGGACAAAAACCATATGGTGACATAAATCAAAAGAAAAATTAGAATGGCTATATTAGTATCAGACAGTAGATTCCACAGTAAAGACTATTACCACGGTAACAATGGTCATTTCGTATGAATAAAGAGGGCAATTAAGAAGACACTGATATCCTAAACATTTAGGCACCTAATAACACAGCTTAAATAAATGAAGCAAAAACTGACAAAAGTTAACTACAAAACTGACAAAGTCAGACTCAATACTCCGTCTCAAAAACTGATATAACAAGTAAGCCAAAAAAATCACCAAGAATATAGTAGAGTCGAACAACACTATCAGTCAACACAATCTGATCAATACTGTTAGAAAACTCCAACCGAGAAGAGTAGAATATACACTTGTTTTCAACTGTTCACAGAACATCTTCCAAAACAGATCATATTCTGGACCAAAAAATAAGTCTCAATAAATACAAAGAATTCAGACAACACACAAAGTATGTTCACTGAGTAAAATTATAGAAGAGAAGAGACTAAAATTACAGAGGAGGGTAGAGTAAAATTACACAGGAGGGTAGGGCAAGATGGTGGAACAGAAGCCTACAACATTCATCACCCCCTCTGGAACACCAAATTTTAACAACTATGGACACAGAAAGTCACCATTACAAGAAACAAAACTCAGGTTTTAACTTCATATTGCCAGAAGAGGCACTGAGGAGAATAGGGGAATCTTGACTCACCAACACCAGCCCTCTCCCACACTCCCAGAAGCAGCCATGTGGCATGGGAAAAAAATCCATACACTTTGAAGAAGTAGAGCACAGCTACTGGAAAACAGTACATTAAACTCAGCACTTGTCATAGCAGACAATGAAGACGTGCTGGGCTCAGCCAACACCTGCACAGGGAAGGAGGATTTGGACCGCACTAGCCAGAGGGGCATTGCCCATCATAGCAGTTGGAACTTGAATTTCTTGGCAAGACTTGCCACCACAGGCTGAAGTGCTCTGGAGTCCTAGGTAAATTTGAAAGGCAGTCTAGAACACAGGGCTGTACTTCCTAGGCAACTCCTAGGGTGAGGCTGGGCTTAGAGCCATTGAACTAGGGTGGCACACAACCTAGGAAGACACCAGCTGGAATGGCAAGGGAGTGCTTATGCCATCCCTCCCCCAACCCCAGGCAGTACAA